AAGCCTATGCAACCTTGAATAAGACCCTCAAATTGTGCAGCAAAGCTGATGAAGATTGACTTGAACTGGAGGTTTGGCTCAGGTTGCTGCAGTGCCTTCCATGTGCAGAATGCAACTGACCTAGGGTTTCTTTCCTTGAGCAACTGGCAATACACATTTGGATTCAAATAAGACTCATCATGTCCTCCCTGTATGATCTCCATTGCAATACTCTTCATCTTGTACAGGGTGGAGGTAGCCATTGTAACACCATACCTCTCCCAAAGTAATTGATTTAGAGCTTTCCCCTTGATTTCTGGACTTGCTCTAATATCCTCCACTAACTTTCTAGCAGCCCACTTGCAGTTGCACATGGGATTGTTTACCATATTCATATTACACATGTGTCCATGCTTAATGCTTTTTATTGCCCAGGTGATCCCATCTAAAAGCACACTTGCATGTATTCTCCATCTGCATCTACTGTCAGCACATTCAGCAGTATATCTATCATGCTCTGTTTTCCTAACAACCAAACTAAAACCTTCTTGGATGCAAAAGTCTCTAAGTGCATCCTTAAAGTGGTCCCTGTCAACAAACATTTGCCATGGTCTTAATGCAATTCTTCCCATTTCTGCATCATCATATACCTCACCATTATTATATAGCTTACTTATGTAACCCCCACCCAATTCATAAAACTTCTCATTACACCTAAAAGGCTCCCAACCTCCATCAACATAATTCTGATTTAGTAAATCTGCCACATTCTCCTCCACTTCATTTGGATCTGTATCCTCACCTTCACTCTTAGTCTCCTTATCTTCCTATCCTTCAGGCATGTATTCACCATCAGTGTCAGAACAACTCCCATCATCACTATGCACACCAGTACCATCATCACTATGCACACCAGCACCATCACTATGCTGGACCCCAACACCCTTTCTCCTGTACCCCCTACTACTCTCTTCTTCTGGTACAGTTTGTGAAGTCTGACTAAAAGGAACAAATAGCCCCTTTACCCTTGCAGTGGTGTTAGGAATTTTCTTGCCATGTGGAAAGAGAAGGACTTTACTTTGGCATGACCTGGTTTTTCTCAAAGGCTTAGTTGGGGGTTCATTTTGGTTAGCTTCTGGTGGAGGGTTCAAAGGTGCCTTCCTAAGATTAGGGCTAGGAATACCCTGTAAAAGCCTAGGACTTCTTCTGGGTGCAGGAGGTGATAGGTCAGAAGCATATTTGTTAAAGTATGCATCAGTAGATAGTGTGATATGTGGGGGAGAGTGAGGAGAAATTTCTTCAAGCAACCTTGGTAATCTCTTAGGCTGACTTAAAGGAGGGGTCACCTTTGGAGGTGAAAGGGATGTGGTCAACCTTGGGCTCCTCCTAACAGGTTCTCCTATAGTTAAAGCCCCAGATTCAGTAGGAGGGTGTTCAACTTGTACTGGTTGTTTGTTTTTCCTAGAGGGTATCTTTGGCATAAAAGGCCTAGGTGGGACAAATTTAATTGAGCTTTGTTTAGATGATTCCAGTTGAAATGTGGTTGGGTTAGATTGACTTGCAGAAGGTGGGCCAACAGTATTAATTGGCCCAGTTACAAGTGATGGGCCAGTAGTTGAAGATGGGCCAGTACTAGAAAATGGGACAGAACAAGCAGGCTCAGTGGCATTACTTGCCTTGGGCAAAATTTGTTGGGGTTTAACTATTCTAGCCAAATTCATTATAAAGCTAGGCTCTCTCAAACAACCCACCCACACATCTATCACTTTTCCTTCCATATTCTCAAACATTTTCATCATTGTCCTATCATCCACTAACTTAATAGCCTTCTCCTTATAACAATAATGCAGCCCAGGGTACTGAGGCAACTCAAACCCTCTATTTGCAAATTCCTCACACATATCATTAAACACATCAATTAACAAACACTTATCCACATCATCAATTGTTAAATCAACACAATTAGCACCATAGTGGATTTTCAAAATCCTCTCGTCATCCATCTGCAAGTTGTTTCCAATAAATATATCAAAATGTAAGCAATTTAACATCAAACACGCTCATCATACCCACACTATATTTAACCTCAACAAAGCCATGATACAATCACAAAATTATGGTAACAAAATTACCCACAAATAAGATTACCCACAAATAATCAAGCACAAACAATTAACCTAACAAGATTACCCACAAACAATCATGCACTTAATCAAAACCAAACCACCAAATACACTACTTACCAAACAAATTTATCAACTTTATGCGTATAACATCTCAAAAATTACATAATTCACCAAATATGGAACAACTACGAAGGGTCGAAGTTACAAGCATAGTACATACCTTCGTTGCCAATTGCGTCTTTTTAAGTTGATCTTCACGTATGTCACAAGGAGAAACACCAAATTATCCACAACAATTTGCTTCTTTTTAGCTGAAAAATTGCGTCTTAGGGTTTCTGATCATTCAATGAAACAGAGGGAAGTAAAGAGAAGTAAGAGAAGAGGAGGGAATTTAAAAGGAGAGAGAAAGTTTAGTATAAAGTACAAGTTAGGTGACGGAATAAATGCCACACCAACATCCGTCATAAATGCTTGCTGACGTAGGTTACCGTACAATTATTAATTGTACCTTTGGGTTACATTGTAGAAAGTCATATAAGCAATGGCACAACGTAGAAAAGTGATTCTTGTAAGGTCACTTATAGAAAAACCCGTTAAAATTTAAATTATTTTAAAAAACCAATAATTATCTTCTCTTAAAAAAACAAAAAAAAAAAACTAAATAATAATTATCTATATGGATGCAAATTTTTTATCGCAAATATTTTTATTCTTTTCCTAGCAAATAATATAAAAGTTTGATTTTAATAATGTACTCAAGACGAATAAAACTTAATCTCATATGACTAATTTTTCATAATTTTTAATAGTTAAATGATTATAAATGAGACTAACATTTTAAACAGAACGAGTATATTAAATAAACGCATAGGCAAAAGACTAAGACGAATAAAACTAAATCTCACATGACTAATTTCCCATAATTTTTAATAGTTAAACAATTATAAATGAGACTACCATTTTAAACAAAACGAGTATATTACATAAACACATAGGCAAAAGACTTATTTTGATCAATAAAAAAAAATAGATTTGTCATTTATTTTATGAATTAAAAATTTAAATTGTCACATAAGCAAAATTAGTGAATAAGGTTTGAGATTTTAAATTCAAGCGTCACATAAAATTAATAAAACAACAAAAGATAACTTTAGTGTTAAAATTAAAAAATTATCTTATGATATTAGAAATTTTATCAATATATTTAATAAATGATATTCATAAATATACAAAATTTTAAATTAAATAAAATAATTTATTAGAACCGTGCATCGCACGGGCTTACATCTAGTTGATACTATACTTCGAACTTTGGAAGGCTCATTCTTTGGCATGTAAATTAAAGGGAGAATATTGATTCTCATTGACTTAGGAGTATGCATGTTGCCGTGAGAATGGGTGGGTTCATAATCTTGATTGATCAGTTAATATGCATGAGAGGTAATTAGTGGACTTTCAATTTCCTCCACCTAACCGTAATATATACTAAATGCTTGCATGATATCACTTGATTAGTGGAGCAAAATGATCTATCCTTTGTAGTTGATTTCCGTGAGCTAATTCCTTTCATATTTTGATGATTTTGGAGTAGTATATAATAGATGCCTTTTGTACTTCATTCAAACACACACAAAATTACATACGAAACACTATTCCTTACTCCAAAAATGATACACAATACTATAGTCTCTAATTGTTGGGCAATGTTCAAAGTGTTCTCAATCTAGCTCTTTGTGGTACACCGTAGAGTTGGAGGCGTGTATCCCTTAAGGTCGGTTGCTATGAGTCCGTGTGTACTGTACGGGGCAAATTCGACTTTAGGGCAGTGATTTATTGTCATGCCACGACAATTTCAGATAAACTGTTCTAATATTATTCTCTAGTTGTTATACTTCTTACCAGAATCTAGTAATTTTTTTTATTATTTATACTTCAAAACATAGTCATGTGAAGCCTTTTTTCAATTTTTCCAGTTTAAGTTTCTAATTATGCACTCTTATAACTTTTTGTAGTACTTAACATGAAATATTACATCAATGACAGTATAAATAATATTTGGTTTTAAAAAATTAAAATTACTTAACACAATGTTTTTTGTTGAGCTTTGAAGTTGGAGCTAGAGGTTGTCAACCGTGTGGGAGTGTCATGACTAAGTTAAGGTCATGGGGGAGGGTTAGGGTAGCACAAGACCGACATGAGTTAGGGTGACTGAATCCAACACTAGGTTAAAAAAGTTCAACCCAATAAGGGTGGGTCGATGTACTAGGTGTGTTGTGGTTTTTGGTGGGTTGCTCTATGTAGGTTAGGTGGGGTTTAGTGTTAGGGCCTGTTATGATTTACTGAACTGAAGTAAACTGAATATAACTGATTGACTGAATTAAACTGAATTGAACTGATTAAAGCTGAGCTGAGCTGAAATAAGCTGAAAAGAACATATCCTTAGAGTGACAAGTGGATCAAGTGGGTCGAGTGGATTAAAGGGATTTGGCGGATCAACTGGATTACAAGCAGTAATTATGAGTATATTTGTATTAATTCGTTTGCACATAATAGTGGTAAGGGCGTAAGGCCGTTAGATCTGAAAATAGCAGTCGAATTACAAACAAATCATGTCATTAAAAACAAATCAATTGCAAATGTTTTTTGTAATTAATAAATAAAAATAATACCGTCCTCTAATAGGAAGGATCTCACGTGACGACAGAAGATATTTTTCGTAAAAAGAAAGAGGGAAGATGTTACGCTTTCTCAAATCGCAATGTCCAGCATACAAAATCGCAACAACTCCCAAAAAAAAAAAAAAAAAAAAAAAAACGATATTTATTAACTCCCATATAAACGGCAGATACTGCAGCACACATACATGCACAAATCTCCATAAACTCCATACATCCAATCATGGCCTGACACGTGGTAAAGCCAATTCATACACTTGTTACTTAATGGGCCCCACTTTGTAGGAGGGAACTCACAGGTTAAAATCCTCCCTTCCCCCTTCTCTTTTTCCTCCTCATTCCAGGCCGCGCACTTCGGCCTACTTTTGTTTCTCTTCTTCTTCCTCAACAAAAACACTCAATTCTAAATTAAATTTCACAGATTTCGAGGTTGAAGAAGAAAATAACATCGTCATTCTTATTTAACAGGTATTTATATATACATCTTTCAATCTTCTACAAAAAAAAAAAAAAAAAAATCTCGTTGATCTTATTGCGTTTTTTTTTTTTTTTTTTTTTTTTTTTTTTTTTTTTGAGGAAATTGCGTATTTTTAGCTGTTCTCTATATAATTTACTTCGTTTGATTTGGTTTGGATCTTAATATTGATTGATTGTTTAAATTATTGATAATAATAATCGATGAATTTTCTTAGATGAGTTATATAGTATGATACGATGGAAATATGGAATGGTGTTATGATTTGATGGATTGAGTGTTTGTGATTGAATTAGAGAAGAATGTGATCGAGTTGAGATCTAGATCTAGGTAGATCTTTGGTTATTTCTATGGTGCATTGTTTATGAACTTTTTTTTTAATTTTTTATTTGTAATTTCTCTCTCCTCTGTTTTTTTGTTGGGAAGTGTGCTGTTGATTCCCGATTGTTATACGTCGTCGTTTTACAGTTACCGATTGTTAATTTGGACCTAACTACTACGTCGTCGTTTTAGAGTTACCGATGTTTGATTTAGCTTTAATACATCGACGTTTCAGAGTTGCCGTTTTTCGGGCGAATTACGTTTATTTGATTCTACTGATATTTTCAACTTTGATTATCAAACAATAAAATAAAAAAAAAATGATAATTTTAATTTTTAAAAAATATATTTTATCATTAATCTCAGGGAATCGTAGTGGTATGTGATTCACATGTGACTGTGATTCTCTGCTTCGGCACCTTTTTCTGTCAAAAAGCTTTGCGTAAATTCTGCCTTATTTTTCGATTTTTCATGTTTATTTTTTCTTGTTAAATTACTATGGGATTTTTTTTTTTTCAAAAAATTATGTGATTTTATAAATTAAAAAAAATGAAAAATTAAAAATGAAAAACCCATCATAAATTATTTATTTATTTATTGAAGAAACCCATCATAAAATTTTAGAAGTACTTGTAAGAAATTGCATGTTTTATTTTGAAGACATGTAAGAAATTGCATGTTGAAAAATCTTATTTCAATATATTTTACTGTAGTATTTTTTACTTGCTTATTTCAAAATTGTAGGATTTGAATTTATAAAAAAATCCTTTTCCATTAATAATATAAATCCTTTTCCAGTAATAATTTTATCTCAATACTTTTCTTATCACGTTTACTAATAATGATAAACAATTTAATACTTTCTTTGTGTTTTTAGATGGAACTCTTTTGAATTTACATTATTGACACATTTTACTATCTTAATTTTGAGTGTTCGTTACATATTGATATTTGAAGATAAATTGTTGAAGCTTTATTGACACCCGTCAAAAAAAAAAATAAAAAAATTGACAAGTGTAAAACAAAAAGTGTTCCAGAGTATGTTAAAAAACAGAGAAAATTACGATTATTTGTTAGGTTTAACCAGGGATATACTATGTTATCAACTAATGATTTGACGATGTTTGTTTCACTAATAGTATATTTTATACTTTATCCGTTTCTATTTAGTTGACGCGTTTGATTTAGGTATTTATATTAAGGAAAGGAGAGAGAGTGAGAGAAAATGAAAAAATAAGTGGGTGGCTTGTAAATGCAATGTAAAAAATTTAGAAGGAAACGTGTTAACTAAAAAAACTTCCTAAAAACTAAAGAAACAGAAGTAGTATATCAATATATGTCATGTACGGTGTATTTAATTGGCATACCTAATCAATTTTTATTGAAAATATAGAGTAATTAAGAGATTTGGTGGATAGTGAGGTAATATTGCATACAAATATGTAGGGAAACATTAATATTAGGATTTGTTTTACTTACAATAGCATGGTATTGCCCACAGTTTTTGGAGGGTAGTGTTAGGGAATTTATTAGTATTTGAGGTGGCTCTACACCATATTTTCTCCTGACATATGTGCTGTTAATGGAATGAATGGCCTTAGTTTAGTTTGGCTCAAAATTATTGGGACCAATGTGAATATGTGATACTGATACACTATGTTACATGAACGCTTTATTTCATCTAATTTACTATTGTTGAACCTTTGACACTTGGTGGGTATGAGCCGTATGACATTTGGTCATATCACCTGTGTCGGATATGGGTACCAAGATCATGTAACATAGGTGATTCGTGGTGGATGGTGGACTCACCAGCTGGGGTTCTGTTTGCAGCTATGGCTATGTGCCGAAAGTCATGGGCTGTGTAATAATCGAGGGATGATATATAAATCTCTAAAATTAGAGTTTGTTTTTTTCCTCTTCTATCTAAGGGATCTTGTGTTACATGACTTTCGTTTAGATATATTTAGAGGTTTTGTGGATTTTAGTGAATTAGCGTGACTAGTGAAGGTAATTTGAGGATGAGATTTGTTCTGTCGCTTTTGGAGATTTATAGTGGAGGTGTGTGATGAGTTCTTGTAAGCACTTGTGGTACAGCTTAGGCCAAAATCAGCTGAAGTTGGGACCAATTTGATTCGTTTTGGTGGAACCTGCAGGGGTCTTGTTTGGTACTATTCTTCGAGGTGAAAAAGAGGGGAAATTGATTAATATCATTAGTGTATGAGCATTTTTGACAATTTCAAGGATGTATTTTTGTTATTTTCAGCATAATAGCATTATTTAAGGGTCCGTTGAACAATTTATCGAATGATTTAGCATGCTTAGGATTAGAAATGTATAACATGCTTATATTGTAGGTTACTTTACCACTTAGGGATGAAGAAATTTCAAATGCGCGTTGGTTTGGAATTGTTGGGTGTTTAATGTAAACTTACAATTACTGTGGTAGATTTGAATTATTGGGTTTATTAGGATGAAGTGCAAAAAGAAATTTATATGGCAGCAATGCAGCTTGCAGTTGGTGGCCACAAATATTAAAATAAAAAATGAAAAATACTGTCTTGTATTTTGGCTGTTGCTTAGATGATCACATGGAGAGGACCACGACTGATTTCTTAATTCATTTTTTATGGTATTTTTTTTCATTCATTGAGGCTGGAGTTTTGGCCTTTTTGGGAGCACTTGTATGTCATTGTAAATTTGCTTATTTTAGTCAAGTTGGTAACATCATGTTTTCTACTCCCAAATCAGCAAGAGAACTTGATTTAGAAATCATTTAATTTATTTGCCTCATTTTGCTTACACGCTTTTGAGGGTTTAAAGTAAGAGGAAAAAAAGGCAAAAAAAAAGTTGAGATGTTATAAAAGCAACTTACTCCCTTTGTCTCTATATGTTAGTTTTTAAGATGAAGAAAATACTATGTGATAATTTGTTCTTTTTTGAGTTTCATTGACATGTTTTAATCTATTTTGCGTATTTTTATTTTTCTTTATTTTTTCTAAACTTATTAAATCTAAACTTATATTTTCTGCTATGTACATTTATTTCATTTGCACTTGAATTGGTATGGACGGAAAGAAATGGGGACAATATTTTGAAATTGGTGGGGTACAAGTGTAACATTAAAAATTTAGGTTTGAAAATAGTGTTAATGAGGGAAGAAATTGAAAGCTTTTGCTTCTAACTTGAGCAGTCAGTCAATTAATAAACTGCAGTACATGAGAAAGTGATGGAGCTTTTAGGCAATAAAGGCGGCTTCAATTTGTATATCTCAAGTATTTGACTGTTGAGGCCAATCAAGAATTTGCCAAGGCTCCATTAATTATTTAATTGGTGTGGTTTTTATTTTTACCACGTTTATTTACTGGTTTTTTTTTCAACATAATAGACCACTGTTTCTTTGATAGTTAAAGCACAACCAATTGGTGCTGCCTCATTTTTTTTTAATTAGTGATGCACATATTTCAGCATAAAGGAAGAGTACAAAAGGTAAAAGTACTTGCAGGGTGTTTAATGATGATGTGAGATTAGACAGGTTTAATTGCGTTTAATTAAGGATATATACACGTAATTTTTCTGAGGTCCATTAATAGACACTTGTGTTATAATGAGACCAAGGGATTATTTTCAAAAGCAAGTTTTAATATTATGTTTGTACTTTTTACCAGAATATAACTGTACCAGGTTATACTTTAGTTAATATGATAGGAGTTTAGAGGTTATAGTAACAAGTGTGAACCAATGAGTTGTAAGCTTAAATAAGATAGTGAGGGCTGATTCATGTTTGACAGTGAAGCTATAAGGGGGCTAGAAGGGAGAATCTAGTTGGGCCAAAGTGTTTTGGATTTTATTCTTACACTGATTTATTGCTCAAAATGTCAAAATCTAGTTCTTATCAGTAATTATCAATGATTAGTGATGAAAGGGATATCCCTTACTTCAATTAATTTTATTTTTTGTGGGGCAAATAGGATTGAAATATATGCCTTTTTGAGGTAGATTGAGGTGATATATTCTATGTCTTTTCGAATGTCATTGTTTGGCTTTAATAACACCTTGATTACCCGGACTTTAGGACCATGACTGATATTAAATGCTAACACAACTAATTAATAGTGTTCAAAGATTGTTTATATTTTTTTATCTAGCTTGTTTAGGTGCTATCATCATATGCTTCAAATGATGACCTTACTCCATATTACTTTGAACTAGTTTTTTAGCCTGTATTGTGCGTGAGGTATGAGCTGATTGATTATACACAGATGTATGTGAAGTGGTGATGTAATGAGTTTGTGATAATTTTCTTCCTCGAAACCTAGTTTTTGTTAATTAGTTTCGTTGATCATGTTTTCAATTGTTTAGGGAAGGGGAAGGGGAAGGGGAATTGGGTATATTAGGTTTAATGTAGTGTGTTCTACTGTTTGAAATGGAGTTTGACAAGAATAGTTAATTTTTTTATTAGTTTTTTTGTTATAAGAAGGGGACACGGCCCACACAAGAACAGCCAAATTCCTACTGATATTTCCTTATGGGTTTAGGGTTGTGTATCTAGAAATAGCCTAAAGCGCAGAGTATTGTAATATATGCTTATACTCATATTTCGAATGACCAAATTTGAGGGTGGATGTATCCATTATCTAGAGTTCGCGACAGGTACATTTAGGTGCATTATGACATATTGTTTTCGAATTAATTGCTCGATGATGTAGTCATATACCACTTTTACTATGCCAATTCTCATGTCAATAGGGAGTAGGGACATGCTAGAGTGAATGGTGGGCAAATAGCTGTGGGGTATGAGTTCCATTATGTAGACAAATTGCTTGTTAGGCCGAAAGCCTAAATTGGGCGAAGGGGTTTGATAAATTGTCAAATTTATTGTGTCTTTTTTTGTAGTAGTTGAGCTAGAGCACTTGCGTCGTTTCCTCTTTATGGATGCTCTCCTTTATGATTAAGACTTATTACTTCCTAATTATATCTCTCTTTAATTTTATTTTAAATTTTGATGTCAACTTTTTGGCCTTTTACTCTTTATATTAAGGAGTGGTGGAGACATATTTTTAATTTGAGGCCAAAGAAATGTTCTAATACTACCTGTGTAGTAGTTTCCGTTTTTTGTTTTAAAAAAAGTATTTGTGTTAGAAGTGTAGGTCCTAGTTCCTTAGTAACCGTTCATTTTTGCAGTATATGCTTGTTTTTGTGGTATATGCCTGTCTTGTAGTGGAGCTAATGCATTTTTTTGTCTCTATGTACCATGGAATCTATTGCATGAGTAATATCATACTGATGTTCATATCTTCCTGTTTCAGGTGCAAGGACAATGGGTGCTGGCGGTCGATCTATTCCTCCAACTGCGAGAAAGGAGAAGTCTGATGCACTGAACAGAGTGCCTTATGAAAAACCACCATTCACTCTAGGCCAAATCAAAAAAGCTATCCCACCTCATTGCTTCCAACGCTCTGTGCTACGTTCTTTCGCTTATGTTGTTTATGATTTCACCATTGCCTTTATCCTCTACTATGTTGCCACTAACTACATTAACCTCCTTCCAAAGCCTTTCAACTACTTGGCCTGGCCCGTCTATGGGTTTGTCCAAGGCTGTGTTCTTACCGGTGTTTGGGTTATAGCCCATGAATGTGGCCACCATGCCTTCAGTGATTATCAGTGGCTCGATGACACTGTTGGTCTAGTTCTCCACTCACTTCTCCTAGTGCCATACTTCTCTTGGAAATACAGCCACAGGCGCCATCACTCCAACACTGGCTCCATGGAAAAAGATGAAGTCTTTGTACCAAAACGAAGGGAGAACATGTCATGGTTTTCTAAGTACCTTAACAACCCACCTGGACGCATCATCACCCTTCTTGTCACTCTAACCCTAGGCTGGCCTTTGTATCTTCTCTTCAATGTGTCGGGGAGGAGATATGAGCGATTTGCTTGCCATTATGATCCTTCCTCTCCAATCTACTCAGAGCGTGAGAAGCTTCAAATTTACATTTCTGATATCGGGATTTTGACAGTGACTTATGGGCTTTACCGCCTTGCAGCTGCCAAAGGACTTGCTTGGGTGCTGTGTGTATATGGGGGTCCATTGTTAGTTGTGAACGGGTTTCTTGTGCTGATTACCTTCCTTCAGCACACACACCCTTCACTGCCCCACTACGATTCGTCTGAGTGGGACTGGTTGAGAGGTGCATTGGCTACTGTGGACCGAGACTATGGGATCTTGAACAAGGTGTTCCACAACATTACTGATACTCATGTAGCTCACCACCTTGTCTCTACCATGCCCCATTACCATGCTATGGAGGCAACCAAGGCTATTAAGCCTATTTTGGGCAAATATTACCAATTCGACGGGACTCCAGTATTCAAGGCAATGTGGAGGGAAGCGAAAGAATGTATGTACGTGGAGGCTGATGAAGACGACCAGAACAAAGGTGTGCTCTGGTATAGAAACAAGATATGAAATTTTTTAGTTTGACAGAAGCTCGGAAAATCCTAGTTTCGTATGTAGGGATTAGCCTTCTATCTTTCAAAACCCCCCATCCGTGCTAGATGTTTAGATTGGCTGTGTGTTTGTCATTTTTTGTATGAGCTGCAAAATTCATGAACTTGTATTCCATAGTTGTTGATCATTGTCATAGAGCTAGAATTTTGTCAGGCACGTTGGGGGTTCTTTGTTATTGTTGTTTCTGCAATAATCTGGTGATCCTTTAAAGTGCCTAGATTTCTTGGCATTTCTATGTTTGGGACACAATTATTTGTGAATTTTTTTATTGTTGTATAAGTTTTAATGAATTTTCTACTTTGATTATATCAGGTGAATGTCTTATGTAGATAATCTAAAATTGTGCATTGACAAACATAAAAATCTCTTCTTTCGGATTCAACGTTTAGTGAGACAACCTATCAATTCCCAAGGTTGACTAAAACTTGACATCTTAGCTTATGATTATTACGGAGTACAAAAGAAGATAACGAGGGGTATGGCGTGGGAGGTAGTAGAACAACCACTTGGTAAAGCTGGGTTATGAACTCATTTCAGTGGAAATTGAAAACGAAAGAACATTTATTTCACTTCTAATATTCAAAAGTATACAAAAAAATTTCAACCCTTGAGATCAATCTTGTGCATCCTTAAAACATATTGAAATAAACGTGCAAAAAGAGATTCTCTATTTTCATTGCTTGTGTAACTTATGAACTCTGATTCAGAGGGTCTAATTCGATAGTATGACAACTTTGATCCTTAATAATTACGGTGTGACATTGAATTTATACAGATTAACACACTATTAATCCATAAGGCACCGATAGTGGTAGACAATGTGTCACGGTCCAAGAGTTTGGACCCCAAAACGTGCGGCGCGCTCTAGCCTTTTGGCGGCAAGAACGCTAGCCTTGAGCGGAAGAGGGGCTTGTGAGCACAAAGCAACACAAGCGGGCAATAGAATCTCAGGAGCACTCACGTCTATCTGGGCGACGGAGTGCGGGTGGTCGGGGCTTGTGACGGCCGATACTTCAAAGCGGGCACAAGCGGGTCCGAACCACGAGTCCTTAGCGCATCAAGTTGGGTTGGAGGGGAGCTAATATGCAAGTAAGACACAATATCTATAAAGGTCTAACAACAAACAAGCATAAAAGCAAGGCAACACTTGGTAGAAGGCTTTAAGATTTCATTAATCATTCGCCCTCTAAAGAGCTTTAAATGACATACAAGAAGAATCCCTAGTGAACACTGATCTGACAGTAACACAATAATGGGACCTCAAGCTAAGAAAACATAACCTAAACTCTAGGAAAGCACTTAAATGGAATCTAATACATCAAAAGGAGTTGGATTCTAACATCCTCCCCTACTTAAGCTGTCGACGACCTCGTCGACTTACAAAAGTTACAATCAAAATTAGAAAACCCTAAACTATCTCAAGTATCGGATGCGCCGTTGGTGCGGCTATCTTCTGGAATCTTATCTGACTCTTGAGCTGGATCTTCTTTGTTGACGAGGAGCTTGTCTCTGGAGTCGCTCGGCTCGAACATCTTGTTGAGAGCTTCATCTCTAAATTTCCTCCTGGGAGTGGAATCTGTTGAATTAAGGGGGACAACTGCTTCCACCATCATCTGTTGGGGAGCTGCTTTCTTGAGACTGTGGTGGAGAGCTTCAAGTTGTGGCTGGTGCCTCTTGGGTGACCATTTTCTTTGTAATCCCTTGCACGCGCCCTGCGTTGTTTGCTCAACCACTATTTTTCCTCCCTCTTGGGAGGTTCTTCTTGGGTGTCTCTTTGGTGTCTCTGGGCTCGTCGCTCTTTGCTTCGAACCTTGTGACTGATTCTGGTTTTGGCGGGTGTGTATCTGGGATGTTGCCAACTCCATGGGCTTCATCTCCCGCTTCTCTGGGTTTCTGGTGCGAGCTTGTTTCTTCGATGTTGCCTTCTTCTCAGGCTCCATCACTCGCATTGCCGAAAGATATCGGACTTCTGGTTCTTCTTGAGGTGCTATCATTCTCATAGCACTCAGGCGTCGTATGGAACCCATCCTATATGTGGGCTCTTCATCGCTGCTAGTCTCTTTTGTGGCCTCCTGAACGGACATGGATGACAATCTCTTTTGGATCTTGTCAAGTTCTTCTTTATGCTCGCAATCCCACCATTTGTGTGGACCTCGACAAAGTATGCAGTTTATTGCCCTTGTGTTTGCCGAGGATGCGCCGGCCCTCGAGTTTCCTGAGTTGTGGGAGGGGGTAGATGTTTGTCTCTGGGCATCACCTCCTCCACTTCTTCTATGATATGTATTAATGGTGTTGGACGATACTCGTGAGCCGTTCTCTATACCCTTTGGAGAGCTTGGAGACGGACTGTTAGAGCGTGTTGACGTCCCACTTGAATCCTTCTCAGATTGACGACCCTTCCCGACTGAGTAGTCCGTCAATCTTTCAGCAGCACACATAGCAGCAGCGAGGGTATCAATATTCTGCCTCAAAATCTCTCGCTGCGCCCATTCCTTTAACCCGTTGACAAAGTTGAACACACGATCTTTCTCATTCATGTCTGTGATGTCCAACATTATCGCCGAGTATTCCTTAACATAGTTGCGAAGAGAACCCTTCTGGCGGCACTCTTGCAACTTCATCCGTGCAACAAACGCTGTGTTGACGGGGTAGAATTGTTCTTTGAGTTCCTCTTTGAACTCCGCCCATGTATCAATCTCGATCCTTCCTGCTTCGATGTCTGCGTGCTTGGTGCGCCACCACAGCTTAGCATCTTCGGACATGTACATGATGGCAGTATCCACCTTCTGATCGTCACTTAGTTGACATATTCGGAAGTACTGCTCCATGTCGAAGAGGAAGTTATCAACTTCTTTCGCATCTCTAGCGCCACTGTAGTCGCGAGGTTTGGGCGGCTTTATCTTCGCCGCACCAACACCCAGTGCGTCTCTGCCCACAGCGCGCGTTAAGGTAGCACATTTCTCAAGTGCTTCGTCGGCTTTTCCTTGAACAAATTGCAATTGTTCGCGGAGGGCATCTCTGTCAGCCATCAATTTCACAATTTGCTCGGCTTGCTCGTGTACAATGACTTGGAGCTCGGCCCATTTGTCCGCCTTCTCCTCGAGCCAAGTGAGCCTTTCTTCTACGAATTCCATCTTCGTGTAGCCCTCCTTGGTGTCTACACGGGTTGCTTGCGACGAGGTTTGAGCCTCGGCTCTGATACCAACTGTCACGGTCCGAGAGTTTGGACCCCGAAACGTGCGGCGCGCTCTAGCTTTTTGGCGGCAAGAACGCTAGCCTTGAGCGGAAGAGGGGCTTGTGAGCACAAAGCAACACAAGCGGGCAATAGAATCTCAGGAGCACTCACGTCTATCTGGGCGACGGAGTGCGGATGGTCGGGGCTTGTGACGGCCGATACTTCAAAGCGGGCACAAGCGGGTCCGAACCACGAGTCCTTAGCGCATCAAGTTGGGTTGGAGGGGAGCTAATATGCAAGTAAGACACAATATCTATAAAGGTCTAACAACAAACAAGCATAAAAGCAAGGCAACACTTGGTAGAAGGCTTTAAGATTTCATTAATCATTCGCCCTCTAAAGAGCTTTAAATGACATACAAGAAGAATCCCTAGTGAACACTGATCTGACAGTAACACAATAATGGGACCTCAAGCTAAGAAAACATAACCTAAACTCTAGGAAAGCACTTAAATGGAATCTAATACATCAAAAGGAGTTGGATTCTAACACAATGACTCATCGATTGGCACCTCCGATGGGGAAATTATTACCAAAAAATAATTTCTTTAGAAACAACTAGTGTATATACTCTAAGTCGTATAGAGTCGTCCCAATTTCCAAATTCTCCACAAAAAGTTATAATTTTTGTAAAATTTGACAAAAACAACCTTCAATACAATTGTTAATTATTAAATCGGCGTATATTTTAGAAAAAAAATCAATTTCACTCGAATTCTATTCTTATACTTCGTATATAGTAATCATTGGGGATTGATTCAACACCTAAATAATTGCCTAAGGTCCTAACTCCTAAGAAATTTGTTTCTATCATGAAAAATTCCCTCAAAACGTTTTTAATGCATGGAAAGGCAATTTATGAGAAATTGAAATTCACTAACCGACCCATCATAAATTGTCTATAATCGGTCATTTTAGTGAAAGGGCAGTATGTGTTGCCATTTTCATCAACCTATACCGACACATAATAAGCAAACAAAGGAAAATAAAGTGATTGAGGCATTAAACATATCAAGAATTAATGAAAGTCAAATACTTTTTTAATGGTTTGATTGATTTTTGGTGTGTTGGTGTCATGTAGATTGAAAAGCAACATATTTATTTAAAATTTTCTACGAGTAGTATTGTTATTATTATTATTATTATTATTATTATTATTGTTATTATAAAAATAATATTGACTTTAATTAATTTAATAAGAAACTTTTCACTATAGTTTCATATAGTTGCCGTTTTTTACGTTACATTTGAATATATCAAAACTGCAATATTATCATGCAACGCATGCTCATCATTCATCTTGCCCAGGATGTGACAATTATTGGAAGTATCATAAATTAACATTAGTCATAGTCTTTTTATTTATTTATTTATTGGGTGAAAAACAAACGATTCATATTATCAAGTACTATGAGTTTATGCTATTCATAATATAGAACAATCGAATTATCAAAATATGAAAACACAATTGAAAATAGAACACGAGGTTTGTAACACATACGAACCATTTAGATAAGATTTCATTCAGGTTAACACATCTACTCCTTTTGTCTCAATTTAATATGCTTATTTTGTTCATTAGTAGTCCTAACTAAGTTTGTCCTCATTTAGCTTTTGGCAAGTACCTACTATTTCTTTGTTAAGGAATAGTTCTTTGTTCTCACCACTGTAAGGTGTAAGGTCAAACACTCTTTCTCATTCAATTAAAAAAGTACTTCACTAATTTCCATCACATCTATCTTTTTTTTTAATAAAATACAAGTAACATAATTTGATAATCACAATTCTATACTGTACCTAAAACTACGTGTCTTAATAAGCGGGTAAACTAAATTGAGACGAAGGAAGTAAAATTTCGAATATCTCACTTTGTCACAAGGTGAGCTATGTAATTTACCAATTTTCCTCAAAAAAAAAAAGTACTTTACCAATTACTTTCATATTGAATTAATTATGCTAATGAATAATCCAACATAATATTCCTTCCAAAAAAATATAGGCTATGAATACAAATGGGCTGATTGACAGACGTAAGTTAGGTCTGCATTCATGGATAGACTGGTTCAAGTTGTAGCAAACACACAATAATATGTACGGATGCGTTGAGAATTGTGGACCATGACCAAGTGATACCAACTACTTTTCTTTTTTCTAGCTTCATCAATCGCATATATCTATCTCACTTTTTTTTTTTTTTTTTTTTTCGGAATATATCTATCTCACTCGACTAGGCATATTCTGGTCAAAAAAATGTAAGTTTCTTCAAATTGTTTTTATGGTCCACAACTCCACAACATACATACGTCCAAGACAAACTATATTTTTGACCAAATTTGTATTTATTGTTCGTGCAATTGGTTTAAAGACTTTAAGTATGGTGTGCTAGGATCCCGAGTTTGTGGAGTCAATAGTCTCAATCTCTCAATACAATATTACAAACATTTGCGGCTGCTTGCCCATTTGATTGCATTAATTAGGAGAAAATTCTACTACGTACATATTGTGTGTTTTTTTTTTTTTGAAGGGTACTACGTACATATATATACAAAGCATTATTAAGGAATAAATTAAAAGTGTTTGGAAATAGACCATTCTTCTTTCAAATTAAAAGTGTTTGGTGACAAACCATGAAGAAAAAATACATCAAAATAAGTACTATCTCCCCATGAAAAAACCCTTGAGTCATGGGGGAATAGGGTGACCAACTAATATAAATAAATTAATATTAACACAATTTGAATTGCGGAAATATAGTGAAGTAGCATTCAATACAAATGATAAATATAGCATCTGAACTAGGTCTCTTCGTTTAATCCTTCGTGATGTAGAGGAATTTTCAACGCTATCATCATAGTAATTAATGAAGAGGACATTGATTTAACTTATTACACAAGTAAGCAAATTAGAAAACCTATGGAAAAATACCTCATTATTCTATTTAGTTTTAAGATTTGTTTTCTTCGTATTTTTTTTTCAATTCGTATTGAGACTCATTGGCAAACCATCAATCTTCAATGAATGATCTATTAAATATATTGAGACTTTTTTGAAAATTAATCACATTATCATAATATCATCTAAGCTCTTCTGACCGCCTTGTATACGAATAACCCTTTTAAAAACACATTTTTACATATGTGGCTTTGTTTGTTTTCATGGAAAACATTTTTTTAGAAAATAATTTTTAAAATTTTTCCATTTTCCATTGTTTGCTTGGTTATAAAGGACGAAATATTTTTCCAAATGTGAAAAATTGTTCTTCCAAGAGTGGAAAATGTGTTCAATTCATTTTCAAAAGAAAGCATGCCATATTTTTCTTCCTACTCCTTATAAGGAGTGCATCTTAGCGCATAGCTCCTATATACTACCTCCATTAATAGTTATGTGCAACTTTTTCCATTTTTGTCCGCTCGGGATTTTGTGCAACTTTCCATTTTCTTTCTATTTTTAGTAAAAAAATAAGGGCAAAATTACAATTTTTTCCTTACTTAATTTTTTTTTTTAATCAATACCCTTATTATAACCTAATCTAATTTAACCTAAACTAATCAGATTCACCTAATCTAATTATTCCCTCCTTTTATCTTCCAATTCTCCCCTTCTCTCTTCATTTACTCACATTCCCAACCACCAAAATTTATTTCTGATGATTCGTTCTCCCTATATCTTCTGGAGAGTTCATAAGATGAACCTTAGTTTATCTTCTAGGTTTTTCTCTCTCCTCTGTTCTTGCGATTTTCTCAATTCTTCTCTCCAGATCTACTCTCCTCTTCTTCAATCTTTCTCAATCAAAGTCCCTCCATAAAAATGGTGAACTTAGATCCTTTAAAGGATGCATATATGGCTACGAATGACAAGGGAGAGGAGAATTTGATCTTAAACCTCATGCACTGCTTCGAGGTTGGATCTCCTTTTCCTAGTCAATTTTACGAGTCCAGTGAGACGGGTCCCTACTGTACTCTGTACACTTACAGAGCCCTTGGTCAAGTCCTCAAAAGAATTGATGAGGAAGAAAGAGCGAAGAAGGAGGAGGGTGAAGGTGAGTCCCGTCGTAAATCGCTTGATTTCTCTGAGATGGCTGTAGATCTGGTTGCTGAGCCTGGTGAGGGAAGTGCTGTTGTGCCAACTAAGCCTAGATCTAAGAGGGAAAGACCACCCCCAAGAGTTAAGGCTACTAGGAAGGTCGTTCGTGTTGCTCTAAGAAGGATGCGTGGCCTCCCTGACCACAAGTTGATTGTGCTGTCTTCTGATGAGGAGCCTGATGAGGAACCTCCATCCAAGAAACCAGAAGTTCCCTCTTGTTCTGTTCCTGTTGTGACGTGCTATGTGAGGCGGATGAACCGGTGAGTAGCTGCACTCCTAACCCTAACTTGTTTAATTTTTGTTACTGAGTCCCTTTTTTTATGTTGATTGTGTATGCTTGTGACATGAGTTGTTTATGCTGGTTCTGTTATGCACATAGATTTGATTATGTTATGATGGTTTTGTTCTGTTCTGATGTTGGATATGGTTTTGCTGCTTCTGTCCTTTGTATGTTGGATATTATGTTGGATGTTGGTGAGGACTGGGATTGCTTTCTTGTTTGGTTGCCTTCTGTGTTGGATATTCATTAGTTGATGGTCATGTTTGGTTGCCTTCTGTGTTGGATATTGATTAGTTGATGGTCATGTTTGGTTTCCTTCTGTGTTGGATTAATTGTTTTTGGATGTTCTGGTTTGGTTCTGTTTATCATGGATATGATTAATTTATGATGCATGTTATGGGTTGGATAATGATTGGTTGATGTTGTAATCATGGCTTATGGAATATGTGAATTTGATTGTTGAATGATGACCCTAAATGATGGTTTGTTGAGTTGGGTGTTTGGATTGTTGTGTGAAAAATATTCTCAATGATCATAGTGTAGAGAACATTTTGTAATGGAGTTCCCTTCACATGCCCCCTTGTTGTTCTTATTGTACAGTCCCCATTTTAATACACTATAGTGTTGTAATTGAATCCAAATGATGAAGGGACTCCTATGAAATACTATTTGAACAAAGGTATTGTAATCCCCCATATTTTAAAATATATTATAAATGAAATTATATACTCCCTCCGTCCCAAATTACTTGCAACGGTTTGACTTTTTGCACTATTCACACATCTCCCTTTGACCATCTTTTTTAACTATTATATGAAAGTCAATGTAATCATGTAAGATGTTGTTGGGTCTATTTTAATGTATAGTTTCTTAATATAAACTTTTTATAACTTATATAAATTTATAATAAAAGATATCAACGGTCAAACATGTGCATCGGTAAGCGTGTCTAGTCAAAATGTTGCAAGTAAACTGGGACGGAGGGAGTATTATTTATAATATTTACTTGTATTTTTCCGGAATTTAATTTCAAAAGTTTCAAATTATTTTTGGGGTTGATAAACGATTTTATTACAAATAACTTTTTATGAACCTTCCTTCTATAATTTATGTCCAACAAACAAACCAAACCCAGTTTACTTTCTTAATTGACCCATTAATTTAATGAGGCCCAATATCCCTACTTACCCTACTACCCTCTCTCCTATAAATACCCCATTCATCCCCAAAAATTTCCCCACACAAAGGTTATTCTTATTTTCTTTCTCCTTTGTTTTATTAATTTGTGTAATTATAAATACTGATTATGGGTTTTGATTTTATTGTTTGAAATTAATTTAATTAGTATCAAATTATATTTTGATGATTAAACTTTATAATTTCAGATTTTATAAATGTTATAATTTTCAGATTTTGTAAATTTAATAACCTAGGGTTTTTAATCATTGAAAATCATGATTTTAGGGTTTTTATGAACAATCGATTTAGGGCTTTTATAGTAATGATGTTTTGAAATTTTTGTGATTATACTACTAATTAGTTTAACTTAATTCCAGATTATTTTGAACACGTAAATTCGTGTTTTAATGTTTAGATTTTGGTTCGTTAATATTAATCCCGATCAGGTTCTGAACTCATCCGATTTTGACAAAAAAGTAGTGTTTTCCATGTGGAAACAATGTTTTAAGAAAGAGACACTACCTTTGGTAATGAGTACCACCCTCTCGTGGCCAAATTCAGCCTCTACATATGATTTTCGGGCAGTTTTTGATTTTTAACGAAGTTTTTTTTATGCTTAATGTTTATGATTAGTTTTGGGTTTTGATTTTATAGTAAAAAGTTTATATTTTTAGTATCAAAATCATGTTTTTATGTTTTAAACTAATAATTTCAGATTATAATTGTTGTTATAATTTTCAGATTTTATAAGTTTAAAAACCTAGGGTTTCAACTTATTTAAATTGGGATTTTAGGGTTCTTATGACTAATTAAATTGGGGCTTTTGTTCCTATTGTATTTCTAATGCATAATTAACCATAAAAACATGTTTTTAATGAATTTTTAAGGAGTTTTAATCTAAATTATGTTGCTGGAAATTTGGTTAAGTATTAATTTATTATTGTTGCTTGTTTATTTTCTAGGAAGTGATTATTTCTTAGGAGACTTTTAAGTGATTAAAAGTGGCACAAAGGATTGTTTATACGAGGTACGTACATGTCTACTTCGTTGTAAGTAGTATCATGTTTAGGTACCAAAGAAAAGAACTTAGTTTCATGATTAGAGAACACTTGGATGAAAATTGTTTGGTTATACATTTAATTAATTCATGTGCTTATGTTTATGAGACATGTTTTGGTGAATTGATTATGTTTGTATGGAATTATGGATGCAAACATGTTGAATTATATTGGATTAATTGTTTGTATGGAATGTTGATACAGGCATATTTTTATTGGATCGGTTTGTTAACCACATTTGGATTATTAAAGGATTGAAATTGAATGGTTTAAGTGGAGTGAATTTATTAATTATTCCATAAGGTTGTTATTTATTTTATTACTCGAGCATGACTTGTTAGTATGTTGAGTAAAAGTGGATTAAGCCGAAATGGCTAGGTGGGTTGACTATGTTCAACAATTTTGAATAATTTGGAAGTTTAATGGAATTAAAGGTCAACTTGTGATGTGATCACCATTGTCCTAAATAAGATTAAAAGTGAATTGATGTATGATTGTTATGTATGGTCTTCTTGAATGAGTCGGCTATTAATTAAAATTGTAATCACGTAAAGTGAAACATGGATGAGCAATAAAACTCTGGAAAGCGTGCACTTCTAGAGTATTGACAATTATGGGTTGGGGTACACGGTGGTAGCCCGTGGCTTTTCGAGGCTTGTTTGATCAACATGTCTTCTTTTCTTTTGGTATTTACATTTTTATTTTACAATGAAAGTTAGATGGGATCCTAGACTAACTTTGTGAGAATGGAGTCGCCCATTCTTGCATCGCGCTAAACTTTTATTTTAAATGGTCATTTGGGACCAAAATGATTTGGTGGATTGGACAACCTCGTCTATTGCTTACTCCAACTAAATTAATTAAATTAAATATAAAGAGTCAAGTGTTTGGAATTGATTAGCAAGTATGTTGAGTCGATTGAATTGTTTAAGTGTGGAGTCTTGATTAATGAATTTATGTTGTATGTTTATTTACTTTAATTAGTTGAGCATGCTAGGCTTGGTACGTTGTAGCTTGTATGTACTCAGCTTTGCTGATTGCGTGCTTTTGTGTGTTTTCTTTTGGTCATGGCCTTCGCCTTTCAATGACCCTGTGATGATCCAATTATTACACTTGTATTATTGGGGAGCAGTATTGCACAGGTTAGCTTGATGATGTGAAGTTCGGGGATTTGACATATGCATTGTCAAGGGATTGGTGTGATTGAGAGTATTCGTTCTTTGTGTTGAACTTATTTATGTTTTACTATTTTAATTATGTTTTGGGATTTTGGAAATTGGTTTGGTTTTAATAAGGGCCTTTATGGTTCCAATTTGTAAGCTTTGACTTATTGGTTTTCTAAATTATATTATTTTAATATTTAAGTTGGATTTCTGCTGCAAGACTTTGATAAAGCCTTAACGTTTTAACACGTGGCAGTAATATGCCAATGGTTCTCCTCTATTTTTATTTAAAGTAAGTGGTTTGGAAAAGGGAGAATTATTGGGGTGTTACAGGTATAGCTCCACCAATCACTATATTGTGATTGATGTTGAGGTAACCATGTTTGAAGAGTTGTGTATAAAAAAAATTGATCTCCTGATGGATTTATGTGATTAAGTACTTCCATTAACTTGAAAATATGGATACAAAAAGCCTGTTAAAATGCACTAGAACTAAACCAACACTGCCTTTCATGTTTGTTTTAATAACCTAGCATACAAAATACACCTAACCACCTATTGATTGGTTCCAAAAAATAACTAAACAAAAGTGAAATTTAACATAGCATTGTTGACTCCTAAGTGGTTATGTGTGGTAGTGTTTGGTTGTTGTCTGTGTCTCTTTGTAACTAGTCTGCATCTACCTCCATGTCTTCTGTTTTTGCTTCATGATTTCTCTAGGGTGCTGGCCTGAACATTGTGTTAAGATATTCCACAGCTTCCAACACTATACTCCTGTCCACTTCAATCTGATTTTGGAGAATGCCTAAATTCTCCAGCTTTTTCTTGTTCATATGTGGGATTTTGTACTTGTTCCCTCCTTTTGCCTTTAGAATCTTGATCATGCATCTTTGTAATGTCACCCAAATGTACTTGTTTACTTCTAGTTTGAAATTGTTGTAAGACTCAATGACCTTTTCAACAAGCTCATCTACATTCTTTGGAAAAGATTGATATTGCAAAGATTGAATAGATCTAAATAGACCTAAGTCTAACACATTCAAATCTGGTCATTGTGCTGGTTGGAACACAAACTCAATGTTAAATCCATTTGCCTGTGTTGCTGCAATGAATTCTTCATCTCTTGGTACTTGATGTGGCCTTGCATCATCCCACTGTATGACCACATTTTTGGGCAAACTTGCTGGCCATTTTGACACTATTGCTGGTATGACTTTGTTAAGTAACATGTCTCTTACTGCATTTCTATTGACATTTTGAAGTGCTTTTGTGACCATTGTGCCAGCTGGTCTGTTTTTGCTTGACTTCTTTGCCCTTTCTTGCTATGTGAATGGGAATATCCGATATTTCCCATCATGTAAGAGTTCCCCATTTCTCCCATAAAGAGGCTTCCCTATAATGGACATGAACATAGCTTTTAATTTGATCCTCCTTGATTGTTGAGTCATATAGGGATCTTCCTCACTTGGTAGTAGATAAAATCTCCTTTTATCTGGGTTTAGATAAAACTATTTCTCATCAATGTGGATGGCATACTTCATGTCATCAAATGTGGGGTTCTCATTACCTTGGATTGGGTTTATGTGAGACAAAACCTACTTCATTCTTGCAACCTTGTGATCTGATGTCAGTGCTAGCTTGCTGCTTGCTGTGTGTGTTCAGATTCTCCCCTTTTTCTTCAAAAAATGAAGAGTTACATGTGAAATTTTGAGTGCTACAGCATATGATCTTTCTGTCTACCTTAAGTGCAGTGGGACTGACTGTAGGAATTCATCAGAAAATTCCATTGGCTTTGGACATGTCCTGCCTATCTTTTTGGACCTGACATCAATCAAATTCCCTTCTGCCATCTGCCTTTTTATTTCAGTGAAAAGTCTTGTAATTGTTGATTTATGAACCTTGAACTTGATTGATAATTCCACCTTGTAGCCTCTTGGTAGGTTACCATCTTGCATTTTCAAAAGCATTGCATCCACAATCGATCTCTCTCTTTTGATGCATGTTCAGTTGGTTTCTGTTTGGTTGGTGAGTCCCTTCTTCAAACAATGATGCTTGTGTTTCATCTTGTTGAGTTTAATTGTTGTTGTTAATGGTTGTGTCTTCTTCTTCTGCCTCTTCTTGCATGTTCTCATTGTCTGAGTTGTATGCTTCAAAATCTGCATCTTGCATCTGCTCTTCATAATAATAGTACAACTCTGCCATTTCTTCCTCTGAAATTAAGTGATCAATGTCGAAAAAAGGGTCTTCATCTATGTCTGCCATGTCTTCTGTTTGCTGTTTTCACTTGTAGATTGCTGTAGATGGTGAAGGGGGGTGGGCTGATGAAGGTTTTTGATGAGATGATGCTGCCCTCAAGCTGATGCCTAGATGATATGAAGACTAACTTTTGTTTAGCACTAATTTTAGATTAGGAGTAATTTTTTGAGTTTAATGTGGGCTAAACGTATGTAATTTGTGCTAACTTTTGGTGGATTTGATCTATCTTTTGAACAAACATGGTTACGTAATTATTGAGAAGCATTGAATGCTTCATGAATGTTGGAGGCTGCTATTTATAAGCCTCATAAATGCTGATATGAAATCAGAAAACTTGGTAGTTTAGCTTCCTTTTTTTTTAAAGTTAGAAGGAATTTTAAAATTCCCAAATTCAAAATTTTTGTGAAATTTTGGGGGGGGGGGGGTGGGGGAAGAAACCCCTCCAAAAACTCTGATTTCCCCTCCATATTTGCAAGTGGGGGGGGGGGGGAGGACCAGCTTTCTCTCTCCACTCACTTTAATTAACTCCCTTAACTCCCTCTAATCTTTGCCCTCAATCTTTTGCCTTGGTACGTAACCGTAAACTCCCCCAAAGTTGCACATAACTATTAACGGAGGGAGTATTTACAAAACATATAGGAGGGTAAAAATGTAAATTTAGCAAGCTTTTGGAAAAAGCTGACTCTACAGTTGGTACATTAAAAATTATAATGTACCATTATGTACTATTATGCATGTATAATGTACTATTTAGATAGTATTAAAGTATAAGTTATCTAAATAGTACTTTTTGTGTACAATTATCCATGTAGTGGTACTTTTTACCATTCTAAAGGTTGAATATTTTTCCCCAAAATACTTACCACCTGTCACCTATTATACATGTAATGGTACATTTTTCATCCTATATGTTTGCTAAACCAATTAATATATAGAAGCTATGTGCTAAGGGTTAACCCAGAGCACAGACTTACATTCCTCACCTCTTCTCCCTTTTACTCCTAATTTTCCGTTCCTCTATAATTTCCCTTTTTCTCCTAATTTTCCGCTCCTCTATAATTTTTCTTGTAAGGAAACAAGCATAAGAAAACTATTTTACTAGTGTGTTTCCCCTTAATATTATTTTTCACCATAGAGAATCTCTTAGGAAATCAGCTTGGTGTTGTGTTTGATTAATGCGGAACAAATCAATGAAATAATAAGAATGAGAAAACCAATAAAGAAGATAAACAAAAAAACATAAAGATTTACGTGCGGTGGTTCGATCAAGTTAGACGACCTACATTCATTAGTGGGGGATTCAAGAGCTTGTTCACAATAATGGAGAAAAAATGAGAGAATAATATAATGAATCCCAAATGTTAGTGAGTGAACAAAAAGGTGTGATCTAATTGATCATCTGCAGGTCATGTAATAACATAAGAAAACCCTAATGTATTCTCCGAATGAACTCAAATAGTTGAAATGTGGAGAATACCAAATTAGGAAACTATTCCATAAGTTATGCACAAAGACGGGATTGTCGAGCTAGCTCAAGTCTGCCGCAAGCTCCATAAGATCGAGCTATAGCTCACTCAATTGCCTAGAGCTATAGGTTGCTACTGCTATATGTTGATGCATGAGCTATAGCTCATATCATCCCTTTTCCTATGCACTAATCCCTTGAGCTACCTAGCAAGTTATCGCTCATTATTTTGAAACACTGATTCAAGACATATTCCAACATAATCATTTTCAAAAATGGTTTTCCGTCAGAAATAAAATAAGTTAATTCATTATAGTATAGAAAATGAATATTTCGTACTACTAATTTAATTAAATAGTGAATGAAAATAGAATGATGGTATGAAACACAATGTTGAGATATGTGGCGTTGTAGGATGCAAGTAATGCACGTTATCGATCTAAAATGAAAGAAAGACATACACATAAAAGTACATAAGGATACAGCTATACTTTTACAGGATGCCCATTGTCGTGCAACCCAACTGCACATAATATGGGGAACAACTAAGTCAATCATTTTTGTAAATCAATTTAAGTATGATTTTAATTAATTAATTAGTTAGTTAATTAATTCTCACTTGAGTGCTCCCCTTATTCTGTTGGTTGGTTGGTTGGATTGTTTGGAAATTTTGGCTCTGTGGCTCATGTATAAGGTAACCCATGATAATCAATTATGCTACCCACATCACTGTTTTTAGTCATGGTTTTATACCTTTTAGTAGTTATTTATCAAATGTCATGAAAATTAAACCAAAATATTTTAATGCTTACTACTCATATATCTTGTATTAACTATCTATATTATATATTAAAAGGTGTTCTTAAATAAATTTAGGTGTCATTTGACACTCTCCTCGGTTAATCCGATTTTCACTTCATATCTAAAAATATGGTTTAATAATTATTACTATATAAGCATATTGGCATAGAAATCGAAAATGACCAGCCAAACTCGAAATTAACCCAAACATTTACTACCTCCGTCCCCGAAAGAACGACCTATTTGGCCTAATTTTAGTCCCAAAAAGAATGATCCATTTGTATTAAAACACCCATCAATTTGCAATAATATTTGTGCAAAATTAGTTTCCCCATATAAAAATTTGATTTTCCATGTTAGTTTATTACTTTTTCTCTCTATTTTTTACAAACCCTAAATAAATTTATATTTTCAATATAGTTTTACTTCTTTTTATTTAACTTTTTTAATACCTGCGTAATCAACCCAAATTGGTCGTTCTTTTGGGGATGGAGGGAGTAACGTTTTTTCTAGATAACCCGACTTGAATTATCCAATGAAAATCTCTTGTGGAAGACTCGTGTGGACTAAAAGGTCACGTAAAGGAAAGACCTTAGTACAACAAAATCTCCCGATCAACACCTCACGTGCATAAACATTTATCAGATTTTGTTGGGATTGTCATTAATAAATCATGCACTTCTTCTTTCGCCGGCTATGTTTCATGTTTGATGTTTTAGTTGTTTTGTTGTTCCTTTTGATTTACTTTCTCATACTCCCCCTTTATTTGTCCTTCAATCATTAGGTCTATTATATATATATATATATATATTTTTTTTTTGTCAGAAATTATTATTAGGTCGATCTACTAAAAGATCAATTTTAATCAAAAGTATAAACTGATAG